ACAAAGAGAAAGAGAGAGAGAGAGAGAGAGAGAGAGAGAGAGAGAGAGAGAGCAATCAAATAAAATCGGAGATGCGTGTACATATAAATAGAATTTGTTTATATGATTCTTATCTTTTTAGATTTCAGCGAGATATGGCTACAGATTATCATTCATTTAATTTCATTTCAAAAACAAAAATAAAAAACCGTTATAATCAACATCATTATCTTTACTTAATCACTTAATATAATTTTAGATACTTGACATTAGCATTAGTGAACGTACGTGTATGTGTGTGATTTATACTTTCTACCATATATGATAACATATTTCGATATACAAATAAAATTTCCGGAGTAAGGAGTAAAAAGAGTTATAAAAACATTATTCTGACTTTCTTTCCTTCTTTCTTTCTTTCCATTTAATAAAATTCTAAGAAAAACAAAAAAATATATAAAATTTGAAAAAAATCGGAATATTACTTTAACCGTCTAACGTTGATTGAAATTCATTTATGCATATATATGAATATACATAAGTAAAATGCAAACGCGGATGGTGGTTATGGCAAAAGAGAAACCGTTTTCAATGAAACATGTAAACAATAATGGATGATTTTAAATGAAGTTTTTTTTTGTTTTTTTTAATCTTTTTAAAAGCATTTTTAAATTTTAAAATTACTGTTAGAAAATCAGCAGGAACACTTGCTTTTAGCTTCATGTGCAGATTGATCTCCGGAACTATTGAGATTAAATTTGTCACCGTCAGCTAAATCTGCAGCACTGATAAGCTTATCGTTTAACAAAATCTGAAAAAAAACAAAATGCAATTAAATGAAAGGATTAAGTTAAGCAAAGTATTGAGTAAAATTTGCTTCCTTCCGAAGGAAAAATGCGTATCTCTGCTTTTCGATTGCTGTATTTGAGGTTATGTTAGCGACCCCGTTTTTAACGTAAAACAATACCGTCTGTAACGAGGTTTGCCAATCATTTTTTATCGTAATTGAACAGTGTTTAATCGAGCTGCAACGGAAGTCCGTTCATCACTTTCTTGGCGAAGGCCGTTTTCAGGAAATTATCAGATACCGAATTAAATTTTGGGTTTGTGCCCTACACTGGCAGCCACAACAACATGTCTGCGTGCGCTTTGTTAGCTTTAATCAAAGTCTTACTGTAGGTAATAATCGGACTATTATATATGGTATATCTTTTGTCTCTGCAATTGCCATAATAGAAATCAAGAACACATAAATCTCGTTTGGATTTGAACAACTATTAGGTATCCGCTATACTTTGTAACTTCTATGTCATAGACATTTTTTTACCATATGCCACTTGTAGTGCCAGGACGTAATTTGCTGCGGATGTGTGCAACGCCGAGAGGGGTTCGAGGTAGACCTGATTTCATCTACCGATCAATTCAGAAAGTGATTCTGCCGCACAATAACACAAGTTGGACAGAGGGGTGGGCAAGCTTAAATCAATTCACAAAGTGATTCTGTTTTCATCTTGTTTTATTGTGTTCAGCCCACAGGCTGCAATTTTCGAGATATTTTGATGAAATTTGATAAAACGACATGTTTTGGCCGAAGGGTAAACGCTATGGAAAATGGTTCTAATCTGACCACTTTCAGGACCGCTTCGAAAAGTCGTGAATATCTTTATGGTGGTGGGTCGTGGCACATTACAGTTCTTTTTTTGTTATACTTGAAGTGATATTAAGCAAAAGGAACATTATGTGTGAGATGAACGAGTCGTCTGCAGAAAGGATTTTACAAATAGCACGTGTAGCACATCGAGTAATACTTAAAAAAAAATGATTAAAAATGATTTTAAATACAAGCGAATTTAGAAATAAGTAAAAACACTGCAGCGGTCCACGGGTACCGTTAAATATCCTATATCACTCCACTCCGCAGTTATTTATACAACGAATTTTCAAAATACGGCGTTACATGAAAAGTAGTCGAGAACGTGGCAGGATCCGAATCATTTTCAATAACATCCATCTTTTCAAACGAAACACTCAAAACATTTCAGTATACGAAATTTCATCAAAACTCTTAAAAATTGCGACCTGCAGGGTGAACATAAGGAAATAGGACGGACAGACAAGCTTAGATCGATTCGGAATCGATGAGTTTAATAAAAGGTGGGTCTATCTCAAACCCTGTTCATTGCCACATACATCCGGCCAATCTTGAGATATCATAGTACAACAAGTAGTACAGCATATATCGAACAAACGACAAATGTCGTCAGCGCGTGCAGGTCTATTACTGCAAGGCAAAGGACTAAAAGAATTAATTATCTTCTCTTGATGGTTTCAAGAAGATGATGTCGTATCCACCATAGCCGTCGATAGAAGGAATCCAAACGTGGCTTAGATTATTCATATAACTTTAATAAACTTAGCTTGGTGTCGAACTTAAGTTTGAAACCTATTACTATTTCTAGTTAGCACGTAAAATCAATGGCGCAAAGGGGTTTGAAATTTTTCAGCTTCTTTGCTAAGAGCGTTCTACCGGGCAAGCAATTCTTATACCCTGCACTACGACCACCGGATGTCTCTAAAACCCAAGAAGGCTTAAGGTATACCCACTATTTATTATATTTGGCGATTTAGATTCATTTTCTAAATCGATCTAAGCATGCCTGTTAGTCTGATGTCTGTCCATTTTTGTGTTCAAACTGCAGCTCATAATTTTTGAGATATTTTGATGAAATTTAGTACATAGACGTACTTTGTCCCAAGGACGAACGCTATTGAAAATGATTGGAATTGGTCCACTTTTTTGACCAGTTCTTATGTAAGGCCTTATTTTAAAAAGCGATTTATATGGAAAAAAATTGCGATTTTTAAAATTTCCTGGCAAAATTAGTTTAGTGATAGTGTTTAGACACTCTAAATTGGTATGAAAGCTTTGGACAGGCTGGGGAAATTTTGTTAACACCCTCTCGTATAACCATTCCTACGGAAATTAAGGCCTTTTATGGTAACAAGATAGAATTTTCAATATTTCATGGTGAAAATTGGCTCATTAGAGTAACTTGGCAAAGACATCTACATTTTGGAAATTGGACTACGTAGGTCTCTGTTTTGGATACCATCGCATATGAGGATTCTCATGAAACGTAAACCCTTAGATGCCAAGAGAGCCCAACTGTTAATTTTTTTGTGATGAAAATTTGTCCATAATAGTAATTAAATAAAAAAATTAAGTGGACCTAATTTCAACCACATGGGTCTATTTCTTGGCGCCATCCCATATAAGATATCTCATGAGTAGTAAGCTCTTCGGAAAGAGGCTTAATATTTAAAATTTTCTTATGAAAATTAAATCGAGTAAATAGAGTTTCAGTCAAAAAAAATAAACGGTAGAGAATTTGAACTAATAAGGTCTATTCTTGTTGGCTACCAGCATACATAGGCGCTATCACGAAACGTAAACTATTAATTGGAGAGAAAACGTAAACTGCAAACATGCAGGCTTTCGTGAAAATGATGGCTTTGCGTGAAAATAATGTGTGCATTTTGCAGTATTATTACCAAACTGGGCGAGTAACTGCCCGGCTATAATGGTCTTACTTGTGTAAAATCAACTATGGAAATAATATAAAAAAGCAAACAAAAATTTATTGCCAAACAAATTCTTGTCTTTTCGCTAAGCGAGCGTTGGTAAGTCAATAAGTAATAGAAGGAGTAAATTATCTCGAAATTTCGCGCAGGTTAAAAGCACTGTTATTCAAATTTTTCGTAAAAAGAATAGTAATATAAGCTATGTAGATACCCTGGAAGGAAATTTTTTACGTAATTTTCATTGTTGTACCTTATTAACTAATGCTCTAGCTGCCTCATCAATGTTGATATTTTCTTTGGCCGAAGTTTCAAACCAACCAGCAAAACCGTTCTCTTTAACATAATCTTCCATTTTATCGGGCGTAGTTACTATTCCTTGTTTCTCTTGATCGCACTGAAATTTAAAGAGGCAAAAATTTATTTACTTTTGTTTATTTTTCTTTTATTATTTTAGATGATTAATGATGATCACCTTATTGGCCAGCAATATGCATGGTATTGGTGTTCCGTCTGGTAATTGTACCTTTGAATCTAAATCTTCTTTCCATTTACTAACGCAATCAAATGTGCCGCTACGTGTTACATCGAATACAATAAAGGCACCAACGGCTTCTTTATAATATACACGCGTCATATTTCCAAAACGCTCCTGGCCGGCAATATCCCACAACTGTAAGCGGACAATCGTATTAGGATCCCAATGCAGAACTTTTAAGGCGAAATCAACACCAATTGTGGCACGATAATTTTGACTGAAAAACTGATGTACATAGCGTTTAATGAATGAAGTTTTTCCGGTACCCAATTCACCGATGACTAGAATCTTGTAAAGATGCTCACGCTTTTCGGTAGATGTTAGTGTCTGTATGGTCTGAAAGTAATATAAACTTTACATTAGTTATTGCAAATTAATTCTTTGAATTTCAGCTTAGCTTAGTTACAAGTGCTCTCTCTACCTCTCCCTGATTGGCTCGCAGTCTTCGCTTAGCTCTGCTTTATTTCATTTATTTACCTACTATCTATTCTCGCGACCAGCTAGACGGGTGAGCTAGGTCGACCAACTATGCCGAGACAGCCAAGTCGATTATTGGTAGACAATAAGTAATTTAGACAATGACACGATCGAAGAGTTTGAAATTGAAATAATACTGTCCACTTTGGATTTCATGCTAGATTTGTAAAAAATTGTACTTCGAAGGACATTCCTTTCTGTTGTTTAAGAAAACGGGAGGAAAGGAACCCGTAGTGGTCGCTTCAATATGAGCATTTTAATATTAGGTTTCGTATCGTTCTAGGAAGTGTCTCGCAGATGTCTTACTATTCCCGACGAGACTGAAGAAAATAAAATGTTTCAACGAGATAAACAATTAAAATGTCAAGTTACACAGTCGCACATTAAAAAATTCTCTGCAGAATGAGTAGGAAAGTACGAATGCGCCTTCATTGAACTATTTCCATGCGATTAGCTACTTTTGACACTAAACGAACTTAATAGCACTTTCGTTATATCCAAAAATAAAAGGTGAGACTCGTTCATATAGATGATGAAATGCTTTATATATCTTATATATCTATATATGTACATTAGATGCACATTCACGTAAAAATAAATAGTCTTCACCGCAAAATTCGCTCGACGGTGGGCAATAATATGCTATTATGATACACACAAACACACACACACAAGTATACACACATAAAATGCAAAACTGAAGCTCTCGTGCATATCAACTTGTGTGAACGTGAGACAAAAAGAAATTGCGGCCAGACCATAGGAGATTGACCCGCATCTAATTGAAGCCATCCTATATCCACAACCGATTAACTTAGAAGTCGCCAGTGGAAATTGATCCGTAGATCACCAGAGGGGATTGACCCGCGTCTAGTTGAAGCCATCCTATATCCACAACTGCGAAAATTTAGAAATCGCCAGAGGAGATTGACTCACATCTAGTTGAAGCCATCCTACATCCACAATTGATTAATTTAGAAATCGCCAGAGGAAATTGATCCCGAGATCACCAGAAGCAATTGACCCGCATAAAGTTGGAGCGATCCTATGTCCATAACTGATTACTGTAGAAAGCAGCTTACAATTGATTAGATCTTGCAATAGGAGAGTTCAATTAAAGGAGCGAATGAATGGGTTCAAAAACATTCGAAACTAATTGGCTGCATGTTCTATAAAATATCGCAGAAGCTACGGACCATAGCTTACTCAGTAATGAATTTATTCAATCATTTTTTGTACATTCGCTTGATTGCATTACAATAATTGACACTTGTGTACTTGTGTCAACCAATGAATAATGAGTGAGTTTGAGTTAAATAAACGTATATTGGCCTTTAGATTATTTTTCATTTTTTTTTGTCTTCATGTTCAACAGCAGTCTGTTTTTCGGCTGCACATTTTCTATATACATTTTAATATACATTTACATGCGCAGCTTATAAGTCATAAAAAATATTTTTTATAGAAAATCAGTAAATCTGACTAAAAACTCAATAGTAATTGAGAGGAATGTTGTAGAAAATCATATGCACTTATAGGGCTTCCCAGTAAAAAACATATTGCAGCACTAGACTATACATGCATTTGCATTTAGTGTATCAAATCTCAATGTCGGAAAAAAAAAGTAAAGCAAAAACAATGAAATGCGAAAAGAAATAGATTTAATCACGAGCGATTATTTGGGACTTAAAGGCTAATAAGAGATTAGAGTGTCACAATGTCCGCATTTAGTTGATGCGAGTTGATTGATCCTTTACGTTTTCTTACCGGTTCCATATCTTGATCCATTGTTAAATCGCCAAAAGCTGGCATCAGCTGATCGTCGTCGTCGTGTAAATCCTCAATCGAGTCTAAGGATAAATCACTTACACCCGATTGATAGCGAAAATTTGCTCGTTTTCCTTCCAAGCTACTAAAATCGTCATAGAGCGTTGGCTGCGACACGTAGTGTATACGACGTCGTATATGTTCGCTAGGTGTGTGAGTGTCGCTATCTTCACTTCTATTAAAATCGTACGACTGCTGACCGTGTAATAAGTCAAATGAATATTTTATAGCATCGATTGGTGGTGGTGGCCTCACAGGACTACCAAGAGCAAAATCTATGCCCGAGGATATCTTTGATTCATTCGATACTTCGCTATTTTGCTGATGAGAACTTTCCGCCAACGACAACTGATCGTCTGCAGTGTTGATCTGTATTGAGGCGACTGATTTGATTGTATTCTTTTCCAGAGCGTCGGTGTTCAAGTCGGTCGATGTTGTGCTCAATGATGTGTAACGATGAGCTGTTGTGGGTGATCGGGTTTCTGGCGTTGGATAACGATTAGATGCGATTGGAAAGGGGGGAGGTGGTGGTGGCGGCGGAGGAGGGGGATAATCGGGTGGCTGTAAAGAGTGCGGTTGCTCCTCTTGTACCGAAGACGTTGGTGGCAGTGCTAGCTGATGCTGTGGTTGCTCTATTGTTTGTGGAATCTCTGACTGTGTTTCCAATGTAGGAAATTCTAGACGTTGCTTCTCTTCACTTTTGGTAACACTAGATGGCTCTTTGGCAACACTAATGGTTTTATTGTTATTATTGCTTTTCTCAATTGCGGTTATTGTTGTAACTGTAGGTCTTGGGAATCGATGGCCACGCATTAAATCGGTTTCCCTTCTTACACTGTTGCCTGCCGAGACCAATGTTGTCGTTGTTTTACGTTTAACTAACGCTGAAGATGTTGCTGCTATTGCTGTCGGTGCTGTTGTCGTTGTGTTATAACTGCTGCTCTTGGGTTGTTTTTCTTTAGCCGCCGCCACCAATCTGACGGCCGCTCTTGTTGTAGTCGTTGTTTTACGTATAGCACCGCTAGCAGCTGCCGCTTGACTAGTTGAGCTGTTAATAAGGCGACTGGGTTTCGAAGGTGCTCTCTCTTTCGGTGGTGTATCTTTTGCACTTTGAGTGATAACAAACTTTTCGACACCGTTTCTAATTTGTGCTGCTGAGTTCGTTTTTTGCGTTTGAGTGACTGTCTGAGCTGGAGAAATGTTGACAGTGCAACAACTACTACCTTTCGCTTTGAGTTTCTTTTTCTTTGTTACACTATTTAGATCGGTTTGCACAGTGTTTAGCTGTGTTGACGATGAATCTGTTGTGGTGTCAATATCCGCACTTGTTTTATCTAAGGGTGTTAAATAATCCGTTTCGGTTGGTTGTTTTCCTACTTCCGCACTTTTTGTTGTTTCGATTTTCTTGGCACTAATAGTGATTTGAAATTTGCGCGTTGGCTCTGACAGGGCAAACTTTTCTGTCGTTACTACTACCTCATGTTGTTTATCGCGAAAAGTTGCTTCACCGGTAGAATCGCTTGTATAAGTGCTTTCTTTGTCCTCTTTTTCTTCTTCTCTGCCTAATGCATGGGTTAACGCGGCAACTTTAACACTTTCCCCTCGACTTTCTTTTTTCGCTTTGATTTCGTTTGTTTTTTTTGATTTTTTTAGCCCGCCTAAGAAGATATTCTTAGTAAGTTTACTTTTCTTTTTAGTCTTGATATCGGCAGAACGCAAACGACCGAGATCGGTGGGATCTTCGCCACCGCTCGATATTACCGGTTCATTTGAGTCGCCAGTACCAGTAGCAATAGCAGTAGCAACAGCAGCGCTAGTTGATGCGGTGGGTTTATCTTTTTTCCGTGTAGATCGGGAAAGTTTTCGTATTGCGCTTGAAAAACGCGATCGAGTCTTCGTCTTCGTTACTCCCTCCTCGGGTTCCGATTGTATTGGACTCGATAGCTGGGGTGAATCGTCTAGCTGACTATCGGGCGATGCAGGTTGAGATTCTGTCCAATTGATTGTACTTGTTGATGTCTTCGCAATTTTGGCTGGAGAAGAAATGTTTTGCATATTCCAGAATTCACTTTAAATTTCATTGAAAATTCGAAAGGATAATAATAACAATTTGGAAGGGAAAGTAGCGGTACGTGTTTTTAATAAGAAATGCGCATTTTCGAGATGTACATAAGCGACAGAAAATTTATTAAATTTCAATAAAATTTACCGCAAGCACTTGTATGATTTCATTTTGCCTTTTAGTCTAATATAGCCACAGGTGCGAACGTTTTGAACCTACATATTAATTTTTTTTTTTTTTTTGCAATTCCAATGCAATTTATAAGGAAGACCAGGAAGAATTTTAGCGATTTTGAAGTCCTTAAAATTGTTTTTTTTTTTTTTTTTGTCAAATATTTTAATGAAAAATTTTAAATAAAATCACCACCGTTCTCGTTACTAATTAAAACTGAACCATTCTCCTGTAAGCTGTAGAGTTTTTATAAAATTTTTGCTTTGGGGCTAAACCAACCGCGAACAAATACTCGATTTAACTAACAATTCATTGTAGTTTTTAGCACCGAAATGTGCATAAGGGTTTCAGATTTCAATGTCTGAGGGATGTCTTGTAATTCACAAATGAGCACAAATTGAGGTGGAAATCTGAGTGGTACTCAACTGGTTGCGGTCACACGCTACTATAAGTGTCATAACAATACTTGCGCTGTCATTTATACCTATTGCTGTTTATGTTATTCATAATTTTTTTTTTTTTTTCTTAATAACGGTCAACATAATGTAGAATGGCGAGCGAAAATTAAAAAAAAAAAAAAAAAAAAAAAAAAAGCTATAGTTTTCATCAATGAAAGGGTTGTTGTCTATGTTTCATATCATTAGAGAGGCCCTGGCATTCCATAAACAATATCGATACTTTGAAATTACTATCGATTCTCTATGTAACAGTGATTCTAATTCAACGCTAAATGATACATTTTCTCATTATTACTAAATGAATATTATTATAATAATAAGAAAATATAATCATTTTTATTATTAGCAAAATCAAAGACGACTATATACAGATCATTGATTTTTGTAATTTGAATCAATTGAAACGATTGTAATATAAGTTTGAATTGATGGTTAACAACTAATCAGTTCTCGTTTTTTAATTTTGTTCTTTTTTTTTTTAATCTTTATATTTCACATATATTTACGTATTATGGAATTTTTTTAATAATTACTTCAATGCCTTGTTCTTGTTGATCTCAACTAACAACTCGTTGGTCATGGATTCAAATGCCAAGTGTGGTAGAGCTTCCAATAAAGCCAATAACTTTAGAAGCTAAGACTACACTCTTCTCTAATAGCCGGTAATAATAGTTTTTATAAATGGCACAACAACAACATCTTAAAAGCTTATATAACTCTTTTTTTGTTTTCTTGGGATCTGGTAAATAGCCGAGTTGATAGGTCTGAATCTTTTATACCCATCAGTGTTATCCTAAAAAAATTAAATGAGCAAAAAACCCGTATAATATGAAGTGGGCCGGCTGATTTTTTTTCTAATTTCAAAATAAAAGATTTTGTCAAATAGGCCTGTGGCCAGTGTAGGCGTGTCCTTGGGAAAATTTGAGTCACTTCCACAGAGTCACTGCTACAGCATCGCCCAAAGAACATGCTTTCGAATTTTTTTTTGAAAAACAGAGATGTTCTTAGTTGACGTGGTGATGTAGGTGTGTCCTTCGACGGATTTGGCCTATTTTCAATACCAGCCTACGTGTAAGAAATTCCAATGTTTCTGCCAAATTTAAATTCGATAGCTTCATTTTTGCCTCTGAATTCGTATGCATGAGCAACAAACAAAAAAAAAAAAAGGAAAAGCAAAGGGGTTCACAGCTTCTGCTGTTTAGGCGTGTGGACGTTGCAGGCGAGTCCGAGGAGAACGTTTATAACAGACAATACACAGACGGATAGACACACAGACGGATGTGCTTAAATCGATTTAGAGTTTGATGTTGACAAAGGATGTGTATGTAGTTTGTGGGGCCTCTAAAGCGATATATTTTCTTGATTGAAGCGGAAGTACTTGAACCTTTGACATGAATTTTGATTGGTGGTTGACACTTATCAGCCAGAGATTGTAAGTTATATCTTCTAGTTGTTTTTCTTGGTCAGCTTCCATCAGTTGAACAATCAATATTCGCAACGAACTTTTAGTTGCTCCTCTTAGCTTTTACTATCAAATTTTAAGTGTGTAGAATGTAAAGATTTTTAGCTGCAGTACAAACTAAGGAATATTATGAACCATTCACCACGCACTATACATGCAATATGGAGCCATGGACAATGGTGGATAGTATCCACCAATTAGATATTTAAAAAACATTTTAAAAGGTTAAACTCATGCAAGGCTATTACATAATGTATTGCCATTGGCTTAGCATAATTCTTTATTTATTTTCTTTGGATAATACCAAAAGTTACAGTGCGTTGTGGAAGTGTTATTTTTCATGAGAAGCCTTACTTGGGAGCGAGTCAAAAACGTGGAACGATGTGTTACCAATTTTTTCCTTTTGTCGAACAAATTATCACCCTTTGTCTATTTTTCGTTGTAAATTATTAAAAATTATATCTTGTTGCCAATTAAAAGTTTACCTGTCATAGGAACTCTCGCATTGGAACCAGTCGGATAATTATATCTACGCGGCTCAAACTTATTACAGAAAGTTTAAATATCGGGTCATTATTTGCGACCAATTTCCATAAAAAATATTAAATTTTGTTGCTGTAGAATGGTTAATAGTCCTGGCCCATTTAAATTTTCCATTATCAAGTAACGGCTTTTTGAAAATTGAGCGAATTTTTAATATTTCATAATTGCTTCCTCAGCTCATTCGTTAGCAAATTTCTTAATGCAATGGGATGTTAATTAAATTTTTGCTGCTTTAGAGGAGAGTACGTAAGGTAGCGGAGAGGAGCTTAAGAGAAGTGCATTAAACTGTGATTTCTCCATCGTTGAGCTTTCCGAAATCCTATAGGTTATCCCACATTGTTTCTTTGAGCCTTGAATACTTGACCATTTTTGCTGCTTGAAAATGGGCGGATTGGACAATATTTTATCGTTAGTTGTGTATACATTGATAAACTGTTTGGAATCATTTTTGGCCTGTGCGTGCAGGTTCCTCGATTAGGCAAACAAGCACTAGGCTGTGGCCTTTCTGCCCGTCACCGCATTATACGAAGTGAGTGGGGAAAAAATGCAAACATTGATTATGTTAGAGTGTATAAGTGAAATCGAAATTCAAAATTTTCAATGCAGTGTGCCACGGGCGACCCTTAAATACCTTACACGACCTTGCAGTTTTTCATGTAACGACTTTTCAAAACAAGGGAACAGGTACAGGAAAACAAAACGGAAAGACGGACAAACGAGCCTAAATCGATTTAGAATCACTCCCGATCGGTATAAGAGAAGGTCGAGCTATCTCAAGTCCTCCTGGGTGTTGCACACATCCGCACACCCTCATACTACATATAGTGTAGAATAACTTGTTGCACTTCGAATATAATTTGTTGTAATCAAGTGTTTGGTTAAAATTTGAAATCATGAAAGAGTCGAGCTCTTAAATTATGAAAGCATGGACAAGAATTCAATAAGTGGAGAAGAGAGTTGCCATTTACACCGCGAGAGAAGTATGTGATGTGATTGACGCGTGATTTTCAAATTTAATTAATTGGATATGTGGTGCCTTCGTCGTGTGTTGTTGTTGAACTTTTTAATTTGTTAATTAATCGCTAATGGACAGTTTATTATATGACTTATGCCACGATGAAGTTTTGTTCCATAGTAGTTGACTTTTTTTTTTTTACAGGCATACGACATTTAATGCAATGTTTTATAGCGGAATAATTAAAAATTCTTTACAACATGCAACGAAGATGTAAGAGACAATTTTGGTAGTTCGTCTGCAAAGTCACTGCCGGGAATGTTAACACGGCCAGGAATACACATAAGAAGAATATCACAATTTTTTCAATGTACAGTGTTCCCGACCCAAGGAGAGTAGTCATCATTATTGTTGATGTTTTTTATCGCGTCTGTAGCCGAAAATAAGCCTGTACCTACCACAAGCTTGTTTCTTATATTACGAATTGTTTAAGTTAATGCGACGTATAATCGCAATAATATCAGCAGTTAGCTGTTCGCTCCCATTTCGCCGAAAATGACATTTACTGTCTTTTTTCGTCAGCCATCTTCAGCGGACATTGATTAATGTCACGCTTTATTTCGAAGCTTTGCGTTAAAAAATGCACAGGTAATCTTTATTATTGTACCTATCACCGCGAGATTGAGGGGTACATTAATTTCCTCAAAACTTTTGCAACGCCCAGATGGAAGCTTCAGAGATCCCACAAAGTACATAGACTTCCTTGATCGACATCAAATTCTGAATTCTGAACCGATTTAAGCATGCCCGTCTGTTCCGCTCTCCGTCTGTGCAATGCCTGTTGTAAACATTTTTCCGTCGACGAAAAGAAGAAGATATCGCCCACAAATTTGCAAAAGAAATTGAACAGGACACGCCTGCAACGTTCACACTGCTATACAGCAGAAGCTGTGACCCCCTTTGCTTTTGCAATCCTCAACCGCTCCCAACCAATATTGTAGACTATAACTGTTTAGCTTTTTTACGTTTTTGGTGGTGGGTAGAAAAGATAATTCGGTCATGATCGACTACAGTTTTCTAAGTTGTTCAATCTCGCTCGGAAAAAGTTATCTCTTTTGTTTATTCATCTATTGTTTGTTTCTGTATTCACTTATCTACTTATTTATTATTGTATTTTAATCAATCAATTGTTTGTTTAGATAATACATTTAATTAATTAATTATTTGTTTATTTATTTCATTCAATCGTTATTCATTTAATTACTTATTATTTTATTTATTTACTTATTGCACCCTACACATTTGCGGTACAAGAATGTACTCAGCTTTTGTCGATGTATGCAACATTGAGAAGGACTTGAGATAAATCAAGCTTTTATTATGCTAATGAATTCGGAATCATTTTCTAAATCAACTTCTTAATCAATATAGCTTTGTCTATCCGTCCGCCAGTCTTTTTTCTTTATATTTATTCCACTGGTTGCGAGTTTTGAAATATTTTAATGAAATTGGGTGCACCGAACTTTTTTGGTCTAAGGCCAAAGATTATTGCAATTGATCCGAATCGGCCCACTTTTTTAACCATTGTACTTAAAGGTGGGCCGTGTCTCACTATAGTGTTCTTACTTAATTTCATTATTTATTTATGCATTTAGACAGTATGTATAACTAATTCCCAACGAACAGACTGATAGCTCAGAGAATGTACTTATAGGAGGTGTTTTACCAAGTTTATGCTTAATCTCGCCAAGATAAATAAATTCATGGTGCGGGACCAGTCTAATGTGAACATTGGTTTAACCGTAAACAAAACCATTTGCATCATTATCACTTTTATATCTTTTACTTATTTGATGTAAAGGAGATTAAGTAAGTTTGATACAGAATTTCTTTAGTCAGTCGTTTC